AAGTGCACGCGCTTGGGCTGGTTGATGCCATTGTATTCGTACTCGTAGGGGAGAGATGCGGAGCGGCCGAGGCTGGTGACTGCGGTGGTGGCGAGCGCGATCGCGGAGGCGGCTTTGAGAGAGGCCGAGGACGCGGCTTTGCGGGACGCGGAGGCTGCGCGGGAGATGGTGAGGGAGCGAAGCGGGGGGGTGCGTGCAGCGAGGAAGGGGCGGGGCGGCTTGCGGTCCATCTTGGAAAGCGTGTCTGGTGGTGGTGGGAGGGAGAAGGGGGAGAGGACAGAGAGGGGGGAGAGGACAGAGAGGGGAGAGCAGGCAGAGAGAATTTTGGGATGTCTCTAAAGGGGCGGGGCGGCTTGCGTTCCATCTTGGTTAGCGTGTCTGGTGGTGGGGTGGAGGAGGGGGAAGGGAGAGGAGGGGAGGGGGTGGGGGGTGCAGAGGGGGGAAAGTGGAGTGTAGGGGGAGAGAGAGGAATTGGGTGAGAAGGCCATAAGAGAGGGTCTTGCAATACCCACTCCACTCGGAGAGGGAACGCAGAGAAAAGGGAGATAGGGGTGTGTGTTCGGTGGAAGTGGCAATGTGGCAAGAAGGGGGAGAGGGTGAAAGTGATATTGTGGGGGTTGGAGAGGAGAAGAGGGGTGGATGCATGGAAGCACGGAAGACAAGAAACAAGTTGGAGGAGGAGCAAGTGAGAGAGGAGGCGAGTGGTCAGCTTCAGTGCTGTGGTGATGCATGCTGCGTGCTGCGTGCTGCTTGCTGTGTGCTGTGTGCTGTGTGTTGTGTGCTGTGTGCTGCGTGCTGAGTGTGTTTCAGAGCAAGCCTCAAAAGGAGCAGGAAAGGAGCACCAAGGAGGAAACCAAAACTCACTGCTCTTCCTCAGCAGCGCGCCAAAGCTGGCACCCATCCGCCCACCAAAGCTCTTCCGCCGCAACAACTCCGGCTCCTCCTCCTCCTCATCCTCCTCCTCATCCTCCTCCTCTCCCCTCCTCACCATCCCTCCCCTCCCAATCTCCTCACCTTCTCCTCCTCCTGCGTCCCCTGCACTCTCCACCCAGCCCCCTTCCTCACCAACCTGCTGAAGCCCTACAGCAATCACGGAAGCAGAGGCAGAAGCAGCCAAGGACCCAGCAGGCGCACTCAGACTCTTCTTCCCTAGATCTGGCTGGCCCTCAACTCCTCCCCCTCCCTCCACTGTCCCCTCTTCTTCCCCTTCCCTTCCCTCCCCCCCACTCCTTTGCCCGCTGAAAACGTCTCCCTCCTCCTCCTCCTCAGCCTCCTCCCCGTGTCTATCCTCCACGCTCCCAGTCTCCTCCGTGTAATCAGTGTTTTCCTCCTCGTGATACATACCCACTGCATCCTCCTCCTCCCCATCATACACACACTCCGCATCCTCCTCCTCCTCATAACACATACTCTCTGTCTCTGCCTCCCCATGATCCATGTACCTATCTTCCTCCTCCTCCCCCTCCTCCTCCTCCTCCTCATGGTCCACCAACTCTACCTCATAATCCTCCACCTCAACATATGCAAGCCCGTAACCATGCGCATACCCATGCGCGTACCCATGCGCATACCCACACGCACATTCATGCCTTAACCCGCCCCCTGACTCTGAATCCTCTGATGCAAGCTCCGTGTGCCACAACCCCGTGACCGCCTCCTCATGCCCCTCTGAGCACCCATCCCCACTCCCACTCCCATGCACATGCCCATGCCCATGCCCATGCCCATGCATGCACCCATCCCCATGCACATCACTCTCAAGCCGAAACCCGTCCATATGCGGATGCCCATGCTCATGCCCATGTCCATGTCCATACCCATGTGCATACCCATGTGCATGCTCGTTCTCCACGCTGCAATCATCCCCATCCCCATGTTCGTACATGCACTCCTCACCATCATCGTACCCATGCCCATGCCCATGCCCATGCCCATGCCCATGCCCATGCCCATGCCCATGCGCATCCGCATGCGCAAGATCCCACTCCTTATGCTCCTCCCCCTGCTCTTCCATGTCAGAATCGTGCAGGCCATACGTGCCACCCATACCATCCCCACCATCCATACCATATCGCACATGTACGAGATCAGAGGAGGACCTCACGGGACCTCCAGCAGCAGGTGGGGCATCACAGGCATCATGAGCAGCATAAGCATCACCCGCATTGTGAGCATGATGAGAGGCATGTGCGCCCACCCCACCATACCGCTCGCTCCAGCCACCATGCTGCCACGTCCATCCCCCCGACACCGCATCACACTCCGCCTCTATCTCCGCCTCCCCCTCCCCCATCCCCCTCTCAGCACCACCAGCAGCAGACAGCAAGGCTGCTGGGTGTGTCCTCTGAGAGGGTAGCGCAGCGCCATGGGGTTGCGACTCCCCACTACAGCCGCTCCCATCCTCCTTGGACTCGCCCACCCTGCCCGTTCCTGCACGATCCGCACACTCACTGCTCCCATCTGCAACCCCTGCTATCCTCAATAGCATAGCCTCTATACCCGTTGCCTCTGCTGCTCGTGCTCCTGCTCCTGCTGCTCTTTCTGGCACCCTTCTTTCTGCCAATCTCAATCTGTCCGGTGCCTTTCCCCTCTCAGGTGTTTTTCCTCTCTCAGGTGTTTTTCCCCTCTCAGGTGTTTTCAGCCTCTCAGGAGTTTTCAGCCTCTCAGGTGTTTTCAGCCTCTCAGGTGTTTTTCCCCTCTCCGGTGTTTTCGGCCTCTCTCCCCCTCGTGCCCACTCAGGTGCTCTAACCCCTCCCAATCCCACTCTCTCCGGAGTTCTCGCCCTTCCAAGCCCACCTGCTTTCCTTTCAGGAGTCTTCCCCCTCTCCAACTCCTCCCCCAATACCTCCCCCACCCAGTACCGCCCCACACCGCTCTTCCACGCGTCCCACCCATCTGCTCGCCTAGCGCCTGGCGATGCCCGCATCTGCAAAGGAGAGGACGCCTGTACAGGCGATCCCACCACCTGCTCTCCTCCTGTCGTCGCAGGCAAACTCGGATTTCTCCTTAACGGGGATGCTTGCAAACCTGTTCCCATATCCCCACGTCCCTGCTCCACACCCATCAAACCCACTCCTCCAGAATCAGTCCCCATCCCTCCCATGCTGCTGCCTTCCTGCCGCTCCCTACCGCCCCCACCACACACCTCTCCCCCTCCTCCCTGTCCCTTTCCTCTCCCCGTCTCTCTCCCTCGCCCCATCTCCCTCTCTCCTCCTCTCCCCCCTCCTTCCATCACTTCAGCAGCCGAGGGTAGTCGCCTCATCAGCACCTCATCCTGCGCGGCCAAACACGCCTCATGCCCTTCCCCCGCACCCCCCGCCGCTCCCCTGCGCCTTTCCCCACACTCCCCCCTTCCCCCGTCCCCGTCCCCCTCCCCCTGCGCTCCCCCTCCCCCGCTCCCGCCGTCCACCAGCGCCAGCAGCGCTTTCAGCTGCTCCTCCTCCGTTTGCCACGTGGCGTGTACCCCCAGAACGGACTCCACCGTGTGGAACCGACCTGCGCGCGGATTGCCCATGGACAGCGTTCGCTTGTGCAGCAGCTTCTTCCCACCAGACGCCGAGGCAGAGGCAGAGGCAGACCCAAGGGTTCCTGACCGTATTGGGGAAGAAGCGAGAGAGAGAGGGGGAGAGAAGAAAGACGCAGCAGCAGCAGTAGCGGTGCTGGTGGTAGTGGCAGCGGCCCGAGCAGCAGCAGCAGCAGCACGGAAGCGAGCAGCGGAGAAGGAAGCAGAGGTGGTGGTGAGAGAGCGAGACATGCGTGGAACAAGGCCCAGTGAACTCCTGCGCTGCTGCCCCCCACCACCACTCACACCACCGCTCACGCCACCTCGCCCACCCCCAGGCGGCCCCAGGTCCATCACCCCACCGCCTGCTGCACCCGCCCCACCACCACATCTATCTGCCACCTTCCCACACGCGGCCCCTCTTGCTCCCAAATCCCCCGCAGTCACTGCCCCTGTTCCCCCCCCTGCTCCCCCCCCCTCCTGCCATCCCCCCTCCACCGCCCACGCCTGTGCGCGTCTCCGCGCCGTTCCCCCTTCGCCTCGCGCTCTCTATCCCGTGCGCCACTTCCGCCCGTGCTGCTGCAGCCGCGGCGGCCAGTCGCCCCCGCCTCCCGCAGTCCGCGGACAGGTTCGCGCGCACTCCCCCGCTTCCCCCCTCGTCCTCCGCTTCCCCGTAGTACGTCCGCTCCGAATCCCCGGTCGCTCTCTCGTCTCCCCCGTTCGTGGCCCCCACAACCTGCGCCTGGGGGGAGCTGTAGGGGGGACGTGACGGCGCGGAAGGCGAGGATAGCGCGGATGCGGAGCTCGACGCGCGGCGCAATGGGGACGGGCAGCGCGCGGAGGTGGTTGGCGGAGGTGTTTGAGCGCAGGCGTTGGCGCTACTGCGACTGCTGTTGCTGCGTCTATTGCCGGGGCCAGTGAAACCGCTGAAATGGGCGGAACTGACACTCGACGGCGCGGGCTGCGCGGAATCCCAAGCGGAAGCGGAAGGGGTGGGGCGGACGGCGGAACGGGCGCCAGGACGCGCGATAAAAAGCGAACCGGGAGAAGCGGAAGCGCGAATCTCCTCCTCCGCGCCAGAGTCGCTCCACTCGTCCTGCGCGCAGCTGCTGGCGCTGCGACAACTGCTGCTGCGCGGGATAGTCCTAAGGGACCCGCGGGTGCCTGCGCGAGCCACACCAGCAGAAGGAGCGGCGGCGGGGGAGTTTCGCGCCGATGCGAACTCGGAGTTGCGCGGAGAGATGAAGGGGAGCGGAGATTTAGGTCGGGCGGAACCAAGCAACGGGGATCGGGGGCGGGCGGACTCGGGAAGGGGAGATCGCGGACGAAGAGGCCCGGGGAGAGGAGAAACAGGGCGAGACAGGCGTGCGGAAGGGAGAGGATTGGGGGAAGGGGAGTGCAGGCGGAAGGCGGAGGGGTCTGTATGCGCAGAAGGCGAGCGGAACGCGGAGGATCCGCGCGAAAGAGGCGATTTGAGGCGGTGATCAGCGGGGCCAGGACCGGGGGACCTTGCACGCTCCTCCCAAGCGGGGCTGAACGGAGCGGAAGGAGACCCCGCGCGGGGTTCCGAGAAGGCCAATAACGGGGATTTAGGGCAAGCAATTGCGGCGCTGAGAAGAGGAGACCTGGGGCGGAAATTTGGCGGCCCTACGACCTGCTGCTGGCGTAGCGTAGAGAGGGAGCGCTGCGGGGACAGCTGCGCGGGACTGGAGTTACCCGGACTGCTGCCGCCATCGCCGCCGCGGCCGCACGAAACCACTATATTCGATCCACGTGCCGCGTAATGCGCTGTGCCGTTGCTGCTGCTGCTGACGCTGTTGCTGCTCGCGCTCGTGTTGGTGCTGCAGTTGCTGCTGCTGCCAAAACTGCCGCCGCCGTAGCTGCTTCCAAAACTCATGCTGCCCACGCTGCTTCTGCTAAAGCCGCTCCCTGTGCTACCCTGTTGCGCCTGCCCTTGCGCCTGCGTCTGTCCGTGCGCTTGCGCTTGCGCCGAGAGGTCCTTCCGCAACGCCCGCCCGTCCCGCTGGCTGCTCCAGCCCTGCGGCCGGGAGGCATCTGCGGCGGTGTATCCTCCGCCTCCGCCGCCGCCGCCGCTTGACGAAGCGCCATCCTCACCTGCGACTGTATCTTCCCTAATCCCGCCGAACCTTCTCCGCGGCAGACTTTCCAAACTTCTGGTTAAAAAATCGCCGGCCAAGGACGAGTCACGAAGCCCTAGTCTCGCGTCGCCATCGTCTTCATCGCCATCATCGTCGCCTACTGCGGTAACGGCTGCCGTGGCCGCGGCGGCCGCCGCAGCAGCGGCAGCAGCGATGGATCCTCCCGATCTCGAATCGCCTGAGTCAGACGACCGCCGCCGAGAGATGACTCCGCGTCGCTCTCTGCGACGAGACACGGAACTGTCATTAGCGGGGATCGAGCTGATCGCGGCGGCGGAGCTACTAGCGGGTACAAGCTTCGAGTCGGCCTCGCTGTCGTCTCCGCACTTCAGCATCTGAACGTACCGCATACCCATTCCGAGAGGTTCCGACCCGTCTCTTGCCCCCGATCCCCCTTCCGCGCCTCCTCCTGCGCTTCCCCCTGCGCTTTTCCCTACACGGTTCGCACCAGCTCCTGAGCCTGGAGCCGCACTTCCGCGGTTATGCCGCGACGCGCCAGGCGCTCGCGATCTGGGGTTACTGACAGACGCTCTGACAGTGGTTGACGGGGACAATGATGTGGTTCGTTCCGCGGAGTCTGCGGTTCTTAAATACTCTTCCGCGTGTTGCACCACCCCCGTGCCTCCTGCCACCAACCTTGCGCTTGACCCCGCCCGAGCCCTATCCCCGTCCGCCTTCCCGCCTCCGCGCACTTTCCGCCCGCGCTGGCGGTCAGTGGAGAGGCTCCGGTTTCCGCTACTGGGCTCCGCCGTCATTCCGCTTGGTTCCGCGAAAACAGAAGAATTTCCGGCGCTACTTCTGGAATCACCTTGCATCTCACACGTCAACACAGCAGCTGCGGATCTTGCGTCTCCGGTTTCCGGAGGCTCTGCGCTTTTCCCAAGATTCTGCTTCTCCGCCCTGTGCCCTTGCCTCGGTTCCCTCGGCCTCCGTCGCTGCTCGTTGTGCTGCTGCTGCTGCTGCGACTGCGTTTGACGCTGCTGCTGACCCCCTTGAGCTCCCAATTGCGGTGAGCTAGTACCGAAGACTAACGCGGGGGGGCTTACCGGCCACAGGTATGCTCCGGGGGACGGAGAGAGAAAGTGTGACGGAGATAGCGGGATCTGTGCAGACTCCATGGCGTAAAATTACTGCTCGGCGAGGAGGATGTGACTCTTCAGAGAGTCTCCGTCGCCAGTGTCGCCCTAGCGCTATGGGTATTGAAGTGCCGATGCGAGGACCAGATGACTGTTGGTGGAAGGTGGTCATGGTCGTGCGATGCATTGTTCCAAAATTCTCTACCTAGACAACAAAGGCAAACCGCGCCGATTAGGAGTTGACCTGCTGATGAAGAACCAGACGCGGATGGCGACCACTGAACAGCAGCTGCTGCTGCTGCACCACCCCCGTTGACTACACTTCGAATGATACTTGTAAATGGAACGCCGAGTTCAACCATTGCAAAATGCCTTGTTGGTTTCCTTGAAAATGCTTTTTTTTTTTCCCGTACACTGCTGACTGGTTTGTCTGTCGTCGAGCCGAAATTTCTGTTGGTTCCAGCAGCGGGAATGTCTCACAATTTTGTTTCGTCTGAATCCCACTTGTTCCACTGGTACACATGATGCTCACCCCCTGCACGCGAAATTGCCTTGCACCTGATGGAAACCTTGCACCCGTGGGTTTTGTGCCGTGAGGCTGCACCCACGTTACAAGCACGTCAACCAATACGAACCACAGAAACTGAAGTCTGACAATGAAGTCAAAAAGTCAACGGTGAGTTACAAATCTTTTTATAAGCCCTTTTTGCCCGAAACGAATTGACGAAGCCTCCGCGAAATGCAGGAATCGTTTATATGCCCAGAGGGTAAGGCAAGGTCGGGGGGCTCAACCGGGCATCGTGTGTACTGACGAGAGGATGGATGGATGGATGGAAGGTGATGTGATGGGTCGACTGGAATCCTGACGGGGAAGGTGATGTGTGTCACTTGGGTCATCGAGACGACAAGCCACGACAACAACACTCTCTACACTGGTCTGGTCTGCTGTGGGCCAAGCCCTCGATTTAGTCAGCTGGGAGCTCCCTATGTCGTTTCCAACCACAAAAAGCTGCTTCATCATCGTCCACTGGCCCTTGAAAGTCCTCTTCCAACAAGGTTGGCCACTTGCAACAACCTTCAGAATGTTTGAGGGGGAGAGGTGGGGGGGGATGTGAGAGTGCTTTTTTTTTTTTGGAGAGGATGAAGTACACGATTAACATTGTAAAACTGTGGGAGTGAGTGTGGATGGTGAGTGAAAGAACGGGATTTAATATTCAACAAAAACGGTTTCAGACTGGAGAAATGTTTCTTTCTCCATAAACCCACTCCGATCAACAGCATGGGCACCTGTACGAAAACTTGTGCTGCTTGAATAACTGAAGACCACCAACAACCTGAAGATCCTTGTTCGGTTTGTCCTCTTCAGTTTTGCCTTGTTGAGCTTGAGGAGGTTGGAGGAAGGCACCTATGCGGCCACTGCAGAAAGGAAAACATAACTGAAGTCAGAATTCTACCTTATATGGGCACTGGTGTAGCACAACGATTTGTGTACAGAATGAAGCAAAAGCAAACTACTTATTTTCAAGCTCGACTTAACCTCTTACCTTAGCCATTGCCTCAGTTAAAAAAAAAATATTTTTAATACTATAAACTATCCTATTATGTAAAATAGGATTGAAACGCATGTACCAGTATAGACTGACTGTTTAAATTAGTCAGGTTGTCAGAATTGTACTTGTATCAGGTGAGAGTATAGAGAGTGTTCCTTGAGCAGGTGGACTCGACACGTGTTCATGCCACATAGGTGCATGCGCTTTTTCGTCCACCTGGCGAACATCATCGCGACTGCATTTCGCCTTCAGTTGCTGTCGCTTCGTGACCGCTTCGGCTACTTTCCCACAGCGGATCGCCCACAAATTCCTCGTGAATTTCGATTGGAATTTCCAATATTCTCGCCCATAGCCCTTCCCCCTACTCGCCCATAGCCCTACAAGGCTAGAGGTTTGCGCTTCCGTCGGACCTCCTCCTCGTTTCCAAGCAAAAGAGGGCCTCCCATCCGTTTCCCTGTCAACGCAACACGCTTCGTGAATTCCAGCCCTTCTGTTAGCACTCAGTTTTCATTTTTCTACCTTCGGCATAGCCGGTCCACTTCTCTTTCAGCCGGAATCATGGAGTCTGAGACCCACCGGAGGTCCCCAGTGGCGGTAGTAACGACGCAGGCGTCTGCCCCATCCACAGCGACCGGAGGAGGAGGAACGACCAATGGATCCTCGTCCACAGCTCCCAAGTGGTGGGGCAGAGGAGAAGGCGCCGGCGGTGACTCTCACACGGGAGCCGCCAGGAGCAAGACGACCAGCAGCAGCAGCAGCGCTGCAGGCGGGAAGGCCAAGCCCGCGGCGAGCACTGGCACTAGTGCGACCGCTGCGTCGCCGTCGCCGCCGTCCGCGGTGATGTTCAGCGAGATGGGGCAGGCGTCAAAGGACCTCTTCAGCAAGGGCTTCTCCACGGCGCAAGTGGTGGCGCTTTCTGCGGTGGCGCCTGGGAGCGTGTCGCTGACGACCATGGTGACTAAGGTGCAGCAGCTCGTGATGGGGCTTGTTACCGCCACGGTTCCGCTGCCGGGGGACGCGGTGTGCCAGGTGTCCGCGAGTTCTCTTGGGCAGATCACGGTGAGATCCGCCTTCTCAGGCCTGTACGGTGCTGTAATTTGCTGTCTAGCCTGCTGGATGGCCTGTAGTACATTGTGCACGTGCATGAGTATGCGCAAGTGGATGTTGCTGATAAGGTTTTTTCTTCGTCGTCTTCTTCTTGTGGCGCTACACTCCGGCCCTCCTTCTGGTGTGGTGGGTTCCCAAACGGGCGGGTCTCTTATTCGCTCGCTACCAGACACTCCAATTCCTGAATAATGTTTCCCAAGTGCATATTCGTTCAAGTCCCCACTCTTGCCTCGGCTCTTCTTCCCCTCCAACCACTACCACGCCGTGCAGACGAGCGTCAAGGTCCCGGAGATGGCGCGTGGGCTTTCCGCGACAGTGGCAGCAGAGTTCCCTCCCCGCGCAGCTGCCTCCACCATCTCCCTCGGCCCGCCCGTGAACACCAGCACTGCACCGAGCCTGCCGCATGGTGTCACTCTCATGCACCGCACGCAGTACTCTGCTGCGTCGGCCGGGACCACGTTCAGCACGCAACCCGTGCTCACGAGCAGCTTGGCGCTGGGTGGTGTTGGTGGCGGGGTGTGCGTGGGCGGCGAGGTGGCGTATGATACGGCTTCGCAGAACCTGATCAAGTCGAATGCGGGTGAGTGAGATGATTCGACAGAGTATGACAGCGTCAGGATTGGTTTGGATAGTTTTACATTGGCGTGGATTATCCTCCTCCAGGCTTCTCACACAACGTACCGCATTAACTCCCTCGCTGTCCCTCGCACTAAACTCTTAGCTTCTCGCCGCCGCCGATCCTTCTGTTCCGCCGCACTCATCTCCCATTGCACTCCTGTGATCACGCAGGCATAGGCATGGCGCATGGGCGCATGTCAGCAGCCGCATACCTCGACATGCAAGTCCGGGATGTGGTGCACCTGCAGTACGCTCAGGACGTGGATGAGAAGCTGGCAGTGGGGCTGTACCTGCAGCGCGCACTCAAAGACTCCAGCAAAGACAACGTGGCGTATGCACTCAAGTACCAGGTGGACGACAAGACCCAGCTCAAGGGGAAATTCAACAGCAACGGGCTATTCCACGGCTGGCTGCAGGTGAGTGTGTGATGAGAGAGAAGGGGCAGGAGATAAGTGTGTCAGGTGAGACCTTGGTGTGTTGCTGCATGTAGAGTGGGGTAGGGAGGGCACGGCGGGGTTATGGTGCGGGTGTGGGTGGGAATCGTTGCTGTTCTCTAGCACGATAAGTTGCAGTTGTTGATGCATTACCACTGCCACTGCCATCAGCATCGTCAGCATCTGCACCACCACAGTGCACTCTCTTCACTGCCTTGTCACCTTGTAGTGCCCGTACTATGCCTTGCGGTGAATTGCCTGTGCAATGTGCTGCTGATGCAGCACACCCTGGGAGGTGGGGCGACTATGAGTGTAACAGCAGAGGTGGACACCAGCAAGGCATTCAACAACGGTGCAGCTGGGCAGCAGCAGCAGCCGCAGGGAGGGGAGCAGAGGGACAAGGGCATTGGGGCGACTAGGTTTGGGTTTAGCCTTTCCATCGCCCAGTAGCTGATACTGGCGATAGAAGCAGCCATTGAGCACACGAGTTGCTCCTTCCACCTGTTGCATCTGATGAAATTGTTATCCTTTAGGTTGTTCCTTTGTGCATACTAGGATGTTTCGCATACAATGTTGCGTGACAAGTTGTTCGGAATATAAATGTTAGAAACATGCATGACAGTTGGCAATATATTGGTAACGGTACATACATGTACAATGTGCTTTTGAGTCCGCACCTGTGTTCCAAACCACTTAAACACTGGTGATTTCGGAGTCCTGAATTGTTGCTGCTTACAGACTGGAAGGAAGACTGGAATAGAACAAATGGAGGGGGGAGAGAAAGTGTACGCCACATTTTGAAAAACAAAAGTTACATTGTGATGTTCAGAAACTGGGGGAAGAAATGTCATGGGCATGAGCTATTGCGATGAGAAAGGGAGAAGAAAGCTCATGATTGAAAAGAAGCATGACACATGTAACAGCCCAGGAAAAGATGAACACAATGGTACACAGCACACACATGGACTGTGCCACGAACCTCGATAAGACAATCACTCCCCGTGCTGTTGCGACATCCAACACCGCATTGCGCCTGATGCACAGCTTGCCAATCTCCAGTGTCTGAAACAACGTTCACAACCAAGCAGCCGGCGCCCCTGAAACACACTGCCGTACAGGGGGAGCCTTAGCCCAGCGTCCCTCCTTCTTTCCCCCTGGCGCAGTTGCCACCTCTCATCAAGGCAGCTTCTTCACCAGCTTATGCAGCGTCGCCACCAGGTGACGTATGAGTCAACTCAAAAAGACCCTCAGCCCAGCCTTTCCTCCTTCCTTCCTTCCGTTCTCCTAGCACACGCCACCTCTCATGAAGGCACCTTCTTCACCAGCTTGTGCAGCGTCGCCACTAGCTGCGCTGCATTCGCTGGCTTGGTCAAATACGCGTCCATGCCCGACGCCAAGCAGTGCTCTCGATCACTCGCCATCGCATGAGCCGTCAGCGCCACCACCGGCAAATGCCTCCCATCCCCCACCTCCTTCTCCCGCGCTCTAATCCACCTCGTCGCCCCGTACCCATCCATCCTTGGCATCTGGCAGTCCATTATCACCGCATCAAACGGCTCTGCTTTCCCTGCTGCCACCTGCCTCTCTCTCTCCACCACAGCTTCGGTCGCTGCCTGTCCGTCCTCCACTGCGACCACAGCCGCTCCCATCTTTTCCAGCATCATTGTCGCCAGGCGCCGCATCACCATGGTATCTTCTGCCAGCAGAACACAGTACCCGCCCAGACGGAGACTACTCAGGGGTTTCCCGTTCAGCTGCCCCCGTCCCGTGGGGCTGCGGGGGGGTGGTGCGGTGCGCTGCGGTGTCGACGGAGCAGTGGGGGGGTGCGTTTTCGGCGAGGGGATTGCGAGCGAGGCGGAGGAGTTGGAGGAGGAGGAGGAGAAGGAAGACGTGGAGGGGGCTGGTGCAGCCGCGGCAGCACGGGGAGTGAGGGTGGAGGTGGAAGCGAGGGCAGCGGCAGAGGTGAGTTGCAAGGAGAGGGGGATGGAGGAGGCAGACTGGCTCTTGAACATGGAGCGAGAGGAGGAAGAGTTGACAAAGCGTAGAACAGGGGTTTCCAAGGACTTGAAATTGTCAAGGCTCGATGGCCCTCCCACACCCACTCCTGCTGCAGCCACTGCTGCTGCTGTTGCTGACGCCGCTGCTGCTGCTGCAGCTCGCAGCCGGTCTTTTTTCAGAACTGTGGCTGCTGCCGCTCCTGTCACCGGTGATGCTGCTAAGGCCGCCGCCGCTGCTGATAATGCTGTTCCTGGTGATCTTGGTGCTCCTGCTTCTGCGGGCGATTTTGGTTCCAATGCTGCTACAGACAAATCTAATGGTGGTGATGCTGCTGCTGATGGCGGTTTCGGTTTTGCTGCTGCTGCAAGTCGAGGAGTTTCAGGGGCCACATTTGCTTGTGCTGATACCCATGTTGCACTCTTCCCATCATCAAACACAGACCCTGCTGGCGTGCACTCCCCAACTGCTGACGTCCCATTCCTCTCCTCCACCCTCAAACCGCATTCCCTGTCATCGCCTCGACCCACATCCCTGGCACAGCCACTGCCGCCAGTAGCAGCAACAGCAGCAGCAGCAGGAGGGGGTGGCGTGAAAGCAGTAGCAGCAGCAGGAGAAGCAGCAGCAGCAGTTGCATGATCATCTTCCATAGCAGCCGTACCTTCCACTGCAGCACTCACTCCCTTTCTCTTCCTCCTCACCACCTTCCTTCCCGCTTTCCCCCCTTTCTCTCCCTCGCCTGTTTCCCCTGGCCCCTCTACAACCCCTGTCATCCTTGCCTTCCCTGCTTTACCTGCCTTGCCTGCATCCCCCGCCTTCACACACTTCTTTTTCTTCACTACCCCTCCCTTCCCTACCTTGCCCTCAGACTTGCCCGTCCAGGTCACGCCCTCACCAGCTGAACCCTCCCCATCAGCCTCACCTCCTCCGCCCTCCCTGCTTTTCTTCCCACCCCCTTTGCTCCCCACTCTCTTCAAAACACCTGCACCCTTCTTGACCACTTTGCACCCACTCACTCCGCCCACCCCCTCCCCACATTCATCTCCTACTGCTGCTCTTTTCCCCACCCCCTTCCCCAATCCCTTGCCCTTTGGTTTCCCCACAGTTCTCCCCTTAACCTTCTCTACCTCCTTTCCAGCATCATCATCCTTCCCCTTCTTCCCCCCTTTCACCCCCTTCACCCTCCCTGTCAATCCCTTGCCACTAACCGCTGCTCCCTTCACCACCTTACGCACCTTCTTCCCCTTCCCTACAGTCTCAGCTGCGGCAGCAGCAGCAGCGGTCAGCTCTGGAAGCCGTTCTAAACTCACCAATCCCTCCTCACCCGCTCCTATCGCCCCACCAACCCCCCCTGCTTCCTCTGCTGCTCCCACTCGCAGCAATGGCCTCGGACTCCTCTCAAAAGACAGTCGTCTCGTCACATTATTTACACCATTACTGTCAGAGAATAGTCCTGGTATGGGATCATCATCATCAGCAGGACCAAATGCAGCAGCGGCGGCCGCAGCAGCAAGATCATCCAGTGCAGCAGCAGCAGCAGCAGAACCATCAACTGCACCATCAGCTGTTGCATCAACTGCGTCATTGCTGCTGCGCACATCACTCCCACTCCCACCCAAGGGACTGAAGCGCCTGCTGCTATCCTTGGCGACTGGATCATGCTCATAATAACCGCTGCTCCCCACGCACTCGGCACTGCTCATTCGCACCGTTTCCCCTTCCCCGTCTTCCCTGCCGCTGCTCCTGCCCTCCTCTCTTTCTCTTAAACTTGCCTCTCTTTCTCTAAAGCTTGCCGTTCTCTCTCTGAAACTCCTCATGGCTCTCTCCCTGAAACTCCCACCGATTTCTACTCGCTTCCTGAAGCTTCCTTCCTGTCCTTCCCCCTCCTTGAAGCTCCCCCCAACTCTTACTCTTTCCCTGAAGCTCCCTCCCACTGTTCCAACCCCCGCTCGTTCCCTGAAGCTTCCTCCACCAGTTCTCCTCTCACTGAAACTCCCTCCAATCCTGCTTCCCCCTCCCCCTCCCCCTCCCCCTACCCGTCCTCCCAGCCCTTCCCTGAACCCTGGCAGTTGCTGCCGCTGCAGCGTGCGGGGGGCACTCTGCATCAGAGCACGAGAGTCGAATCTCACTTCGTGCTCAAACTCCCGCCGCGATTCCCCCTCCATGCCACCTGCCCGACCCACCTCCAAAATTTCGGCCCCCATATCCCCGTGCCGCATCTCACCATCCTCCATCTCTCCCCTCTCTGCGTCCAGCCCATCTGCAGAACCCCTCAGTACCTTTCTCAATCCTCTCTCACCTCCTTCGATCCACGGTGCCCCCCCTTCCTCTACCTCCACTCGGCTTCTTTCCCCCCATCCTTCACTCGTCCTCGGTCTCCTCATTCCCCCCTCTGCCATGCCCACAGATTCCCTATCACCCCCTCGCGCACTGCCCATCTCTTCACCCCTTGCCGACAAACCCCCCACACTCCCCCTGCCGCTGCCAATCCTCCCACTGCCAGCACCAATGCCGCCGCTGCTGCTGCTGGGCCTGCGGGCACTGCTTGTGTTCGCAGCACCAAAGGAGCTGCTGCCGCCGCTGCTGATGCTGCTGCTGCCGGCAGTCGTCCTCACCGCTTCCTCAAAATGTCTCACAGCGTCTCGCACTGACGGCCTTACCACCTCGTTTGCTCTTTCCGCTCTCTCTCCCTCGCTGCCGCCGCCTCTCTCCTTGTTCTCCCCTCTTGCCTCCGCTCTGCCCTTAGACTGGCTGATTTCCCCCATGACTTCGCTCACCCCCCGTGCTGCATCCCTTGCTGAGCCCTCTGCTCGCTGCAGCATCCCCATGCGCCCGGCAGCACCAGCAGCACCAGCATCATCATCATCATCATCATCGTCATCATCAGAATTAGCCAGATCAGCAGCACTCAAATACTTTACAGCAGGAGCTGTCACAGCAGCAGCAGCACCACCACCACCACCGCCGCCGCCACCACCACCACTCATGCCAGTACCCGCTGCTACTTCTCCGGCTCTCGCACCACCCACCACACCAAACCCACCAGAACCACCACCAGCACCACCAACACCACCACCACCACCACCACCACCACCACCACCACCACCACCACCACCACCACCACCACCACCACCACCACCACCACCGCCGCCGCCGCCGGGATTCCTGGAGCCGCTTGCATTAACAGCTTCAACAGCAGCACTGACACCAGCAGCCACCATACGCACATTGAATGAGGCACTGATGCGCTGCCCCAGTGGACTCAACCCAGGAGCTGGTAGCCTCCCCAACGGCGGCCGCCCTGATAGCCCAGCGTGGGTCGCCGGGCGAAGCATGTTTCCACTGCCCTCCCTGCTCATACTCGCACTCGGCCCCAACCCCCTCGCTCTACTCTCCGGAAACCCCCCTCCACCTCCTCCTCCCACACCACCTCCTCCTCCTCCCACACCACCCCCTCCTCCTCCTGCTGCTGCTGCGGCGGCGGCGGCAGCGGCAGCAGCAGCAGCGGCTTCGCGGGTGGCTGTGGCAGCAGCAAGGGTGGCGCCGAGCTGGGCTCTGATAGCTGCAGCACTGGACATGGTGCGAGCGAGGGAGGTGGGCGGGCAGCGTGCTGTGGAGGAAGAGAGAGCAGCAGAGGAGGATCCGTCCGAATACGGCGTATCTTCCGACCAGCTGCGCGGAGCCAGACCCATCCCCATGCCCATGCCCATACTGTTGCCGCTGCTGTTGGCAGCAGTGGTGAATGGGGTAGTGGAGGTAGCAGAGTGAGGGATCGGGGGGAGAAGGGAGAGGGGGAGGGAGGTGGGGGCAGGGAAGGCAGCTGCAATAGCAGCAGCAGCACCACCACCACCAGCAGCAGAGCCAGCACCACCGGCAGCAGCAGGGGCACCCATGCCCATACCACCAGCAGCACCAGCAGCAGAAGGGGCGGGAGGAACGGCAAGGCCAAGAGCAGCAGCAAAGTCAAGCGGAGTGGAGAGAGCAGTCATGAGGCGGCGGGCGGGCGGGGGATACCCCCCTCCAGACGGCACGGGGGCGAAATGACCCGCGCGCGCAGCAGGCAGCGGCGGAACATGCGGAGTAGAGGACAGGCGCGGGATGGGCATCAACGTGCGAGGAGGAGAGACCCGTGGCGGCGAGCGAGACGACATGGAGCTAGTCCGACGGGGGGAGGCATCCATGAGCCCACCGGACATGAGCGCTGCCACAGACGACGCCCCTCGCTGCAACCCACTCCCTCCGGTTCCTCCGGCTCCTCCGGTTCCTACGCTGCCCCCGCTGCCTCGCAGCCCGGTCCCTGCGCCTGGGGGCCAGTGGGGCCGGGGAGGGAGGTCGTGGGCGAGGTCTATGCCGCTGGCAAGCAGCATCTCCAGCTGGCCGGACCCGAAGGACGCGGAGCTGTTGCGGCGGGAGAGGGAGAGCGTGCTGCTGGTTATGCTGCTGCTGTGACTCATGTGACTGGCGTGGCTGGCGTGGCTGGTGTGGCTGGCGTGGCTGGTGGGACCCTGGTTGCTGGATGCAGAGCCTGCCAGGGAGAACGTTGATGCTGCACCATGCATACCACCACTTGCAGCAGCGCCACCACCAGCACCAGCACCCCCACCAGCGCCACCACCACCAGTACCCGCACCAGCAGCACCTGCACTGGCTGCAGTGCCACCCATACCAGCAGCAGTAGGTGGTTGGGCGAGCGGGCCGCTGTTCGCAATGCTGTTAGTGGCAGTACTCGCTGTGCTGTGCGTGCGCTGCAGCTCCTCCCACACCGCCTCTAGTTTCTCCGCGCGCGCCGCCTCCACTGCCAAGTGCACCCCCGTGCCCTGCGCCACCAGCAACTCCTGCCGCAGCACCGGAATCCCCGACCCATCCACAGCCATCCCCGCTCCCCCCAACCCATCCCCACCGTCCCCAACACCCATCCCTCCCTCAGAATCCCCCTCAGACGACCCCCGCACCATAAGCCCTAACACGCGCTGCAGCTTCCCCGGATGAAGCGGCTTCACGACGGAGAATCCGCGGAGGGTGGAGCGGAGGGAGGGGGCGGCGGCGGGAGTGAGGACCCAGGCAAAGACGACGCCACTGGGTTGGAAGGAGCGCAGCTTTGTGAGGAAGGCACGCACCTTGGGCACGTCGGGAGGCGTCTGCGCCATGCCTGGCAGCTTCTCAATCTCTAACAGCACAAGCAGCCGCTCCTCTGCATCCTCGTCTAACCCCTCCTCCGGATCCCCCCCCTCCTGCTGCTCCAGCACTTTCTGCCAAGATTCGTCCTCCCCTCCACCATTGGCAGTAGAACCAGCACCAGAACCGGTGGCAACAGCAGCAGCACTCCAAGCAGCCACAGACTCGACCCGATCGCACCCATCGTTTGTATCCACAAACGGGTTCGACCCCTGAGACTGCAACCTCTGCTGCTGCCCCTGCCCCTGCGCCCACGGCTGCTGCCGCTGCTGCTTGTGCCTAAGACTCGCCTTGGCCGCCCAGTCTCTAACCGCCACGAGCAGCTCCTTGGTGCTCTCTGTTCTCCCCGACCGCACGCGGTGCCGTGCCAGCCACCGCTCCACCACGGCCACGTCTACTGCGTCCTCCACACACAGCAGCACGCGCACCCCTCGCAGCTCCGGGGGCGGGGCCAGACACGCCCGCCTGGACGCCCGTGAGGGGAAGCCACGGCGTGCCGTCGGTGGTGCTGCTGCTGCTGCTGCTGCTGCTGCTGCTGCTGCTGCTGCTGCTGCTGCTGGTGCTGCAACTCGTGGGGGCGACTGTGATGGTGCAGCGGTCGATGCGTGGGCGTGAGGCGGCGAGGCGGAGAGAGGGTCAAAGGCAGGAGTGGGATTGAGCGAGTGCGTGGGCGGGGAGGTGGGAAACGACAACGACTGCTCGTTCGGGAGAAACGGGTTTCCGGAGAGGCCGTGGGGGGAGGAGGGGAGTTGAGGGGAGGCGGGTGGGGGGCGTTGGAAGCAGAGGTGGAAGGCGAAGCGCGTGCCGGGGGAGTCCTTGGGAACCACGGCTATGAACCCGCCCATTCGCTCCACAAAGCCTTTTACTATGCTCAGCCCGATGCCCGAGCCACCGTGGCTGCACGGAGCAGGGTGGCGCGATGCATGGTTGGAAGAGGGGAGAGAGGTGGGGTTATAAGGGGAGATATGGGAAGGAAGAAGGGGGAGACAGCGGAAGGGAATTGGGGAGCTAATCAGGGGCTTTGGGTTCAACAAGAAAAGAGGGATGGAATCAAGGGAGAGGGATGGACGGGGATACAGGAAAGCATGGAATTCCCAAAGTGAAGCAGATGTTGACTCTGCAAGGCTTTCCGTGGAGATGCATGTGTTCGAACAGGGGTGTGTGTGCGACTGAGTGTGTGTGCGTGTGCGTGTGCGTGCGCGTGTGTGTGGTAGAACGTACGCGCGAGTGGTAGATTCGTCCTCTTGGACGAACGACTCAAACACACGTGTCCACATGGACGGGTGGATGCCTGGGAGGGGAGCAGAGAGCGAAAAAAATTACGAGAGGAGAAAAGACGGTGGAAAAGTAGCTGTGAGAGTGCGGGTCGTTGGAGGGTATGGTAAAGAGAGATGGGAGTGTGAGTACGGCCCACGTTTCAGACCTACGCACCATAATGAGGAGTTGTGCATGTACCACCAAAGATGTATACCAACAGGCATACAGCAGCAACACAACACACACACAGCACAGAGCACTGGCACAGATGGTTACAATAGGAAACAAACCCCTAGCTCATACAAGCCTAACACTTTTGTTTCATCCATTCGCCAGCCACACCACCCATGCACCAACCAGCCAACCCCAGCCCACACGCACCAACACCCGAGTCTTCCACTTCAAAATGCAGCACCACTTTCTCCGACCCCACCGCCCCTCCTCCCCTCTCCTCCTCCTCTGCCTCCTCCACCCCTCCCCACCCCTTCCCACCGTTCCTCTCGCTCACAGCACCCATTGACCTGCACGCAGGCACCTTGCCCTCCCCGCCCTTCCGCCACACCCCACCACCGCCTCCCACCGCGTCAAACCCAAACTCAGGCGGCGCCTCAGGCTGCGTGAATGCGCGCGGAGTGGGGACTAAATCAGCGGCAGAGCGGTAGGCGCCGAGCTGCTGGGTGTAGCCGCGGATGGTGATCCATCCCTGAGGGGTGAACTTGATAGCGTTGGACAGCAGGTTGGCGAATATCTGCCGGAATCGCGGCGCGTCGCCGATCACTTCTGTTGACAGGTCGTCTGAGAGGCATGGGGGGGAGAGGGGAGAAGGGAGAGGGAAGACGGGAGCGGGACAGGGAGTGTAAGAGGGTCGGAGCCTGAGAGCGTACTGCAGAGGAACGTTGGGTGGGGGAATGAGATGTGCAGTGCAGATGTGATTGTTTGGCGGGTGAGGTGAGAGGGGATTGAAGGGATGGCATGCACATGCAAGCTATCTGCAGCATGCGAGTCCTAGCAACAAGCCAGCCCGCCGCACCCGCACCCGTACATACCGTCGAGGTCGAGAGCAATGTCGAGGCCAGAGGAGGCGCACTGCATGGCAAAGAGGTCCACCAGGCCCTCCAGCTCCCGCGCCGGGTTGAAACGCTCCTCTGCTAGCTCCAACTTCCCCGCCTCCACCTGAAGCCATCAGGCACGGATGGGGCATGGGGCACAGGAAGACTGTTGATGAGCATGCTCATGATGCACGCACACACACGCACATACGCACGCACGCACACGCACGCACGCACGCACGCGCGCATACACCCTCCCAACCACTCGCCATGGCACTAATCAAGGCTGCGGTCGAAAATGCTGCTGCGGATACCAAGCAGCGCCATGGCGCACATGCACTTAGGCACACACGCACGCACTCATGGACACACCCGCCCCCCTCTCCCACCCACCCACCCGCCGTCGCACAGACCTTGCTGAGGTCGAGGATGTTGTTGAGGATGCCGAGCAGCGCCATGGCGCAGCGGTGGATCTGAGCGACAATGTCCAGCTGGTCCGCCGTCAGGTTGTCGTCGCACTGCAGAATGTCCATCAGCCCTATAATGCCCGCCATCGGTGTGCGCAGCTCGTGGCTGGCGGAGGGGAGAGAGGTGCGGCGGGAGAGGCGGAAAGGGGGGGAGTGGGGGGGAGCGTGGGAAACACCGAAACTGGTTGTCGTCGCACTGCAGGATGTCCATCAGCCCTATGATGCCCGCCATCGGCGTGCGCAGCTCGTGGCTACTCACAAGGGGTTGGGGGGGGGGGGGGGGGGGGAGGAGGGGGTGGGAAAGAATGGAGTAGAGTGTGGGAGGAACAGAGGCTGTTCGCTGGAGAACGTCCATCCGCCCCATGATGCCCACCATTGGCGTGCGCAACATGGCTGAGGGGGTGTTGGGGTGGGGGGAACTGGGGAAAGAGGAGGGGAGTTGAGAGCCTTTGCTGTGGAGCGCTTTTGGGTTGACTCAAGAGGCATCTAGCACTGCAGGATGTCCATGAGCCAAGAGCTGGAGGGGCTTTTGAAAATTCTCAAACGTCGCACCACTGCAGGATGTCCATCAGCCAGGAGCTGGAGGGAAAAGCGGAGAGAAAGGGGAAAACGGGGGGAAGAGAGGTGGAGGAGGAGCAGAGAAATCGGGGAGGCAGGCAAGGTTACGAGGTAAAGAAAAAACAATTAAAAAACAAAAACAAAAACAAAAACGGGTAGAGGTTGTATATCCAAGTCCTTTATTCATCCTCCATGCGCCATCCCTTTCCTACCCCCTTCCACGCTCATCCTCCCATGCCCCCTCCCCCACACACCTCATATTGACCATAAACTGGCTCTTCTGCTCGGCACCCGCCCGTCCACACGCGCACCTCTCCCTCCTCTTGCCCTTCCGCTCCCCCACCGCCTGCCCAGCCCCGTCCCGCCCAGGCAAGAGCGAGAGCGAGGAGGAGCGCACAGAGAGAAGGCTGTGCAGAGAAGCCATGGAAGCAGAAGGTCTTGGACGCTGGAGTGTAGAGGACGAGGCAGAAGAGGAGGAGGAGCGTACGCAGCCCAGGAAAGCAAGGGAGATGGGTAGCGGGAGGAGGGAGCAGAGGAGGAGGGAGGAGAGGAGGAGGCATGCGAGCGCGGTGAGGGAGATAGAGAGGATGGTGATGGATGTGGCATGGGACAGGCCAGGGGGGGAGGAGGAGGATGAGGAAGGGGAGGAGGTGGGCGGTGGAGAGGAGGAGTTGAGTAAGTGAGAGAGAGAGGATGGGGAGGAGGAAGAGGAGGAAGGTAGTGGCAGCAGCAGCACGGCGACGAGAGAGAGGCCTGAGGAGGCGTTGAAAGGGACGGCGTCCAGAGACATGACTCGGTCCTCCACCGCCCCTATTGCTGCTGCTTCCTGCCCCGCTCCCCCACCTTCCTGCCCCTGCTGCCCCTGCTGCCCTTCCTGTCCCCCAACCCAGTCCTTCAACACCACTGCTGCTTCATGCACTGGCGCCACCTCCTGCTGCTGCCCCTGCGCCTGCGCCTGCGTCTGTGCTACCCCCTGCCCTTGCTGCTGTTGCTGCTTCTGCGATTGGGTACCCCACCCCCATCGCTGTGCGAGCAGGAGGGCGGTGTTGCGGACCAGGGGGTCGCTGCTGCTCGCTGCTGCCTCTGCTGCAGGTGATGCTGCTGCTGAATCAGCTGGCGCAGGGGATTCTTGCTGGTAGGAGAGGCGCGATGACGCCAGGAGGTAACCGTCCTGTTATGAGGGAATAAGGGCATGACCGAATGAGGGGATGAGGGGATGAGGAGATGAAGGACCGAGGGAACGGGGGAATGCAGAGATGCAATGCGGGAACGTGGCGCGCTAATGAACTGGAAAGGCTTAAGCGCTTGGGCTTGGCACTGCCACTGCCGCATGATCAATCTCCTGACACATTACAATCACAACAGAAAATCCTCACGTTTCGCCCATCCCTCCTGTTTCTCTTCATCCCTTCCCTCGTCCACACCCATCCCATTTCCTCCTCTCTCCTCTCTTCTCCATGACTCACGCATCCCTCTCTCGCAGTACCGCCGCACGCACCTGCGACAGCAGCAGCAGCGCAGCGCCTGGGGGCAGGGGGAGGGAGGAGAGGAGGAGGGAGAGGTGGCGGAAGGGCAACAGCGCGGAGAGCACCGCCCAGGGCTCCGCGGACGCCCCTGGAGGTTGCGCGGACGCGGACGCCTCCAAGGGGAGCAGCGAGGCGACGAGGAGAGAGGGGGAGGCGTTGGGCGCAAGTAGCCAGACGGGGGAGGGGATTGGCGGAACAGAGGTGCGGAGGGAGTGGGGGGCCAGCAGCGGGGGTAAGGCAGTGGGAGCAGGGGGTGGGGAGGTGATGGGGAGGCCGTCGTAGGGGTTGATGGGGGAGAGGAAGGCGGAGAGGGTGGTGATGGCAGTGGTGGTGCTGGCAGTGGCAGTGGCGACTGATGGGGTGAGTCCAAAGAAGAGCGATGAGGCGGAGAGGAGAGGGAGAGACGGGAGAGGCAAAGAAGATGCGTTGCTCCCAGCGGTGATATTGTCAGGTGTTCCTGTGTTGCTACCAGGCGAGTTGCCAGGCGTGTTAACAGGTGAGTTACCAGGTGAATCACCAGGCGTATTGTCAGGAGGTGCTGCTACGTCAGTGGATGGTGGGAAGAGTGGGGGCGACGCACGTGTACGGTACGGAAGGCTATCAGAGGAAAATGACGAGTGCGGGGAATGGGTTAGCAGTGAGTCAGCGGTCCAGTTACGGTAGTAACCCACGAACTGGGTGGGTACAGAGCGGTTGTATGTCTGAAGCACCACGGCCGACAGTGACGGTGCTCCCAGAAACGCAGGATACATGTGCGGGACGACCTGCTCAGAGATGGGTTCGCATGGGGATGGTTTGCAGGGAAGAGATAGGCAAGGGATGTGATAGGAGCGGGGAAAGGTTAAAGGTGAGAGCTGTGAGGCACGGAGGCGACTGGTTACATTGCAGTAAGCAGAATCATAGATTCGAGAACTTGATTGAATTCGCACTCTAGAGAAAGATCCCATGGCAAGCGAGCACTATGCTGCTTGCATCAAGCGGCAGCAGCAGTAGCAGCAGCAATGCTAAGTCGGAGGGGTTACAGGACTACACACTACCGACCAACCACAACTCGTGAGTCCACCCCACCTTGCGCATGAGCCGTGCTAGCGCCCGCGCCCGGCCCCTTCTCCCCCTCGCCACCGCCTTTCCCCCCATGTCGCGCGCAGTGGGCGCGAGCAGCACCGCCATGCCGTTCAGCGCGTTCAGCGGCGGCAGAAGCGCCGCCACTGTCGCGTTCTGCAGGGAGATTAACAGGTGCTCGCGCAAGGAGGCGTCGGGGGGGCTGGCGGGGGGGGCGGATGCGGAGGCGGAGGCGGAGTAGGAGGAGGAGGGGGAGGAAGAGGGGGAGGAGGGGGGGGGAGAGGCGCACGGAGGCGCGGAGGCGGCGGGGGAGAGGTACCAGGCGACGAGGCCGCACGCGGTGAAGGCGGTGATGAATAGCGCGAGGAAGAGCAGAACCTGACGGGGGGGGGGTGCGCGGATTGGGGGGGAAAGGGGGGCGCATGGGAAGGAGTGGGGCCGAGTGGGAGGGGGAAGGGAGAAGGGGCGGGGCGGGGGGGAGGTGGGGAAGAGGGATTCACCAGAGTCAGAATGGAAAAGTAGAGAGAAAGCCATCATCAGGTGGGTAGTGGGAACGAGGGTAGCCCCAGCAATGGGTGACCGCCAGAGGAAGGTATGGTGACCGGTGGGGGGCATTGTGGTGGTGGGTGGGCGAATGGAGAGGAATTGGACGTGAGGGAAGCGAGTGGCGAGCGGGTCACGCGGGTGGAGGGTGGACCCTGACGGCGCAACGATGCGGCGCACGACCAATGGATTCGCAAGACCGTTAGATTCGCGCTGCCCGACACCCGTGCGGGCCGCTCTATCTGATACCTACGTACCTATCTGCGTACTTAATCTACCTACCTCCCACTAATTCCCATGGCTTCGGTCCTTAGCTATACTACAACGCGCCATTATGACGCCAAGCGACCCACACGGCGCAACCTACCATCACGCTGACATACAGCCCCACGGGCCCTCGCATCCACCGTTTGACCCGCGTCTCCCTCCCATCACTCTCCTCTCCATTTCCCCCCCTTTCCCTCTCCTCCCCCTCCTCTTCCGCTTCCTCCGCCTCCTCGTCCATCTTCCCCCCTGCTTCTTCCAACCTCCGCCTTGCCCTCTTTCTATCGGCGCCATGCGGCGGAATCTCGCGCCGACTCCGCGCATCACCGCCGCGCCACGACTTGCAGTGCGGCGGCAACTGGCAGACGCTGCCTGAAGCGTTGCGGTCATCCCCAGGCAGAGCCGGCGAGAGAGCGGAGAAGAACCAGAGCCGGCGCCGATAGCGGGAGCAGCTGCGGCCGAACAGCAGGCAGTGCGTATCGCACTCGCTCCTGCCGTCGTCGGTATCAGGCGGCAAACCGATCGTCCGGCCGAGGCTCTCGGATTCTGAGAGCAAGCCATCGCTCCAGACATCGACGGCTGTGTATGCGTCGTCAGCTGCAGCGTCGTCTATCGTCGCCATGTCCATGACATGCGGTGATGACGACGCGATGCTCATGTGCCCAAGACGTGCGGCTTAGGGATGACGAGATATAACGGCCCAACATGCCGACCCATAAAGTCTACAATACACCGACGAACAACAGCGACCGCAGACAATGATTGGTACTTTACAGATAATCTGCGCTTCCGCCCCGTCAGCTATACCTGTTTTGTCTAGTTCCAGTCTATGTCAAGCATACTACCTACAGGTATCGTCGATTAGGGTTTCCTTGGTCTGCCTTGATGCTGCCCTCCTCGAGATTACCAAGACCAAACTGGTTTGGGCTTAGGTTCGGGAGGTGGGTCGAGATGGTGTTTAGGTCTGACCAGGCAATTTGGTGAACCTGTGTGCTTAGGTCTGGTTTGGTGACAGAATTTCGAGGTTTGGTGGGAGCGAATGTTGGGGCGAATGAACGACAAAAACAAAGTGGTCAAGTGGCCTTCCCATGTTACAGCCTCCCTCGAATTCGCACTTGATCGTCCTCCATCAACCCAATAATGTACAACATTAGTAATTTGGTAATTTGAAATATAAACAAGATTCTAGAGTATAATGGGTAATAAAATTCTCAAATCGCCGCAAACAACATTGTTCATGGGCCTCTAACTTTCTTCAGCCGTTACTGGGCGGAATGTCATTAAATAGATTCTATACTTGTTAAGTGTTTGTAAAAGCCTATAGTACAGTGTTACACTTGTTTGGTGGTCCACCACGTTTCACAGTACGCGTAGCTACTGAAATCCGTCCCTCTAGAATGATAACCTGGTATATTGCCAGCAGTTGCGCAGGCCTCCCTGCATGTCACGCCTCATCTGCCAGAACCCACATGGAGCTACACGGAGCAGCTGTGTGGGCCTCTCCGCATTCCGCGGAACCCCACTGCAGTAGCAGAGCGTGGAACCCCTCGGCACCAACAGGGTGCAAAGCTCATATGGTAGTAATGACATACGAAACCCCACTGCAGCACCAGCAAGTGAAGCCCCACGACAGCAACCGCTGTCCTCCTACCGCTATAGCGGAAAGCTTGAAAGGGTGGCGACGGTGACACTACAGCACACAGCCGCCGCCCTATCTGCTGCCCTGAAGCGCCTGCCACTATCAGGGGAGGTTAAGGGGGTGGCGAGAGTGAGCTTGCCATCTCTCTCTCTCTCCCCCTCTCCCTCTCTCTCTCTCTCTCTCTCCTCCCCCTCCTCCTCCTCCTCCTCCTCCTCCTCCTCCTCCTCCTCCTCCTCCTCCTCCTACACCTCCTCCTCATCCTCTTGCTTTTCCTCTTTGTTTGCTGCACCTGTCCTCCTCCTACAGTTCTCTCCTGTTCGCTCCGTGTTCACCGTGTCGCGCGCTCTTGCTAAATGTGTTAACGGGAATGGAGTGATGGCCCCGCCCTCGCTTGGGCAACGCCGACAACTTGGTTGGATATACGGGAATAGCAGCCGACTGATCACAGTGGAGAGCTGCTCGACAGGCCTCGTCGAGCTACAGGGGACCTCTGTGGTGTTGGTGTCGACCAGGGAGCTCGAAAGCTGCAAGTGACTGGTCTGGGCGACGGCTGGTCTGAGGGGCAGTTCGACCGGGAGGTCGATGAAGCAATCCGTCGGCCTGAAGCTCGACCGGGAGCAGTCTGTCGACCTGCAGCTCGACCGGGAGTAGTCTGTCAGCCTGCAGTTCGACCGTGAGCAGTCTGTCGACCTGCAGTTCGACCGAGAGGTCGACGGAGCAGTTTGTCGACTTGACAAGTGAGCAGCGGTCGACGAGGGGAGCTCGGCGACAACCGCTGACTGTTCTGGTCGACGGAAGGGGTCTGTCGACCAGGGGGTAGCTCGACGGGAGTTGTGGTCAACCTGGGGCACCTGGTGGTCAACCAAAGGGACCTGGTGGTCGACCAGAGGCAGTGGTGGTCGACCGGAAGCACCTGGTGGTCGACCAGGACGACCGGGTAACCTGCTCGACGAGTTCTGCGGAGACACGCGAATGTCGTCGAGGTCGCGATGGCGAAGGCGACTGCGGGCTGGTATTCCGGAGTCGATGTGGCTCGTCAGGCGCAGACAACAGCCTACGGATGCCCAACGAGGCAAGTCGGGCCAATCGTCTGCGCGCACCTGCGAGCGTGCGCACTGCTGTGTTCTACGAGGCAATGCTGGACAGCCGCTCTGCTGCAGCATAGGCACGCCGTCAACCTGCTCTGTTGGCAGGTCGCCTTTCCGCAGTGCTGGCGCGGCTCGTCTACTCAATGCTGGCAGGCAGTCGACCAAGCTGTGCTGGCGGTCGACCAGGCTAGCTGCAAGGTTGCTAGGTGCCTGATGTAGTTATTGTTGTCATTGCTTGTTTAACCATTATGTAATTCCAACTTTGCTAGTGAAACTCTTGCCAACTTCTCCTATGAATGTGCAAGTGCTAAGGAACGCAAACAAGCTACGATCACTTTTAGTAGTTCGTTCCAAACCCCGTAGTCTAGCTCATTACCGTTCTAGAGTGACTCTCCGCAGAATGTGCTCGTCTTTACCGCGCCAGTTGAGCACCCTCCGCGTGTGGACCTCCGCGGTACATTTGCTGCTAAGGCACAGCTGTGCATCAGGCAGTTACGGGGGAAAGTATATATGTGTATATGTACATATGTATATAAATATATGTATTGTGCACAAGTGCTTGAAACTGTAGTGTAGCGTTACAACCTACGCGCCATCTACTTCAGAGCCTCAGATTCGTTTTGGCCTAGGCTGCAAAATCAGAGTCGGTACAAAACTTTCTGCTGAGAATTAGACAAATCAGCCATTTTATGTCATTTTGCACTACAGATTTTATAAAATTTCCCGCTTCTTTTCAACAAATTGCTGAAAAATCAGCCTTAGCTCTAGAAAAGGTATGAAATATCAGCCTTTTTTTACCTAAATCAACCTTTTTTCACTCACTTCTGAGTCCCTGCCTATAGTTGTAGTGTGGCGTTACAACCAACACGACATATAGTTAAAATTAATGGCATTGCCCTCGTTTGAGCGAAGTATTTCACACTGTTGGATGCGCAAAATGTGTATAGCCGAGCGACGTCGGCGGCGTTGACCGAGAGACGTCTTTCTGGTTGATTAAATTTGTTGCCCGCCGTGATTCCGCATGCGTTCGGTGTCAGAACATTATAGCTTATGCTATTGTGTAGGCTATAGTGGGGTATCCCATAGGGGGTACAACCCAACTAGGGTTTTATATTTGTACTCGCTTCATTCATAGTTCACATCATTCTCGTTCTAATCTTCTCATGGTATCGAGCAGGTTCCCCCGTGGGAACTGTGCCTAGGGCCCACCACATCGATCATTTTTTTTTCCTGCCCGAAGCGCGCTCGGCCCGAGTCGCGCTCCGGGCTCTTACGTCGTCGAGCCGCCCTAGCGGCCTCCCCACGACCTACCTGCGGCCCCGCCGCCCTTTACTGCGGCTCGCGCCGCCCCTTCCCTGCGGCTCGCGCCGCCCTACCCGGCCCGTCGGCGCCCTCGCGCCGCCCTTCCCGGCCCGTCGGCGCCCTCGCGCCGCCCGTCCCGGCCCGTCGGCGCCCTCGCGCCGCCCTTCCCGGCCCCGCGCCGCCTGTCCCGGCCCGTCGCCGCACGGCCCGGCGCCTCCCTAGCGGCGTCGCGTGCCACCCTTACCCGCGGCCCTACCCGCCGCCCTACCTGCGGCCCTACCTGCAACCCTACCTGCGGCCCTACTGCCGCCCTTACCTGCGGCCTTCCCGCCGCCCTACCTGCGGCCCTACCGCCGCCCTACCTGCGGCCCTACCGCCTCCCTGCCTGCGGCCCTACCGCCGCCCTACTAACGGCCGACCCGCCGCCCTACTTGCGGCCCACCGGCGCCCTACTTGCGGCCCACCCGCTGCCCTACCTTCGACCGCCGCGCCGCCCTGAACCAGCGCCGCCGAGCCGCCTAGCGGCAGAACCACCGAGCCGCCCGGCCACCGCGCCGCCCTGATCCAGAGCCGCCCAGCAGCAGAGCCGCCGAGCAGCCGAGCCGCCCTGCCGCCGAGCCGCCGAGCCGCCCTGCCGCCGAGCCGCCAAGCAGCAAAGCCGCCGAGCCGCCCTGCCGCCGAGCCGCCGAGCCGCCCTGCCGCCGAGCCGCCCAGCAGCCGAGCCGCCGAGCCGCCCTGCAGCCGAGCCACTCTGCAGCCGAGCCGCCCTGCTTCCCTACTTCCGGACCGCCAGAGCTGCCCCGTCTGGTGAGCACAGCGCCTTCTCCCGCTACACGGTCCTCCCCCCCCCCCCCCCCCCCTCACTGTTTGCACTGCTAGTCGTCTGTCGTCATGGCTACCCCTAGTGTCCTAGCTTTTGACGCTGAGGGTCGGGCCATTGACTTTGAGGTCTGGGTAGACGACCTGCAGCTATTCTTACAGTGCGATAGGGCAGACGGCCTCTCTCTCTTTGACCTTACCTCTGGCGCTTCCCCTGCCCCTGCTGCTGATGGTGACGCCACTGTTCACTCCCAGTGAGCCACGCGCGACGCTGCTGCACGTCTTGCTGTGCGTCGCCACCTCCCTACCTCCGAGTGTGCGCACTTTAGTCAGTACAAGAGTGCGCAGACCTTGAACGACGCTGTAGTCGCGCGCTACTCCTCCCCTACCACTGCTGCACTGAGCCGTCTCATGCTACCGTACCTCTTCCCTGACCTTGCTGCCTTTCCCACCGTGGCTGACCTCATTACGCACCTCCGCACTAGTGACACTCGCTACCGCGCTGCACTCCCTGCTGACTTCTGCGCCAAGAACCCCCCCCCCCATATACATCACTCTGTACTTCCTAGTCACTCGCCTTCCTGACTCCCTTCGAGTAGTCAGGGACCACTTTCTCTTAGTCTGTCCCACCACACTCACTGTCGACCTCCTCGAGAAGGCCCTCTTAGCAGCGGAGAAGAGTATAGTCGCTGTCGGAGCCTCTCGAGGTGACCCGCGCACCCCCATCTTTGAGGGGTGTTCCCCCTCCCCCCTGCTGCCCTCTGTTGCCTCTACTGCTACGGCCGACCTCCTTGGTCTTGAGTCGGTCGG